TGCTGCTCAGGCAGCCAAAGGGTCAAATGCTACCCAGCTCACTGGTGGCGGAACTTGAATTTGACCTGTTTTGACTCCAACATCTGTGCCCACAGCTTTGCTGCCAAAATTCTCAGCCCCACTCACATCAGAATCACCTGGAGCACTGGGAAAGCTGATGCCTGGGCTGCCCAGACCAATGAGACCAGTCTTTGGGGGCACCCAGCTCCACAGATTGCCCACACTACCCAAAAGAGACCAATGTGGGCCAAAGCTGGTGCACACAGAGCCCTGGGTCCTTATCACACTGCCCGTCCCTCTATTTGGACTTCATGGGTCTGCCCATAGCCTAGGGCTTTTCCCAGTTTGTATGGTTGTACTTTTAGATAATGGGCAAATCTGCCCAAAATGAAGAAGAGAGTGAAGTAAGTATGTATTTTATTTTTTCCCAGCTTTACTGAGATATAACTGTGTAAGCCTAAGGTGTAGAACCTGTTGATTTGATACACTTACATATTGCAATATAATTACCACATAGCCATAGCTAACACACCCATCATGTCACATATTATTATTTCTTTTTTGACATGGGAACATTTAAGATGACTCTCCTGGCAATTTCAAGTACATAATAGAGTGTTGTTCACTAGAGTCGCCATGCCGCACACTAGATCCCCAGAACTAGATCCCCAGTCTCATAACTGAAACTGTGAGCTGTCTGACCCCATTTTCCTCAGTCCCCAGCCTGTTTCTTCTCTCTAGTTCCATGAGCTCAGCTTTTCTATATTCCACAAATAAGTGAGATCACACAGTATTTCTTGTTCTCTGTCTGACTTATTTCACTTGGCATGAGGCCCTCCAGGTCCATCATGTTGCCATACGTGGCAGGATTTCCTTCTTTGCCATGGCTGAGTTCCACTACATATGTACCATCCCATCCTTCTTCATCCACTCATCCCTCCATGGACATTTGTTTCCATGTCTTGGCTACTGCGAGTAATGCTGCAGAGCCCACTGGAGTAGAGATATCTCCTAGATTTCTTTTCCTTTGGCTATTGCAATTGCTGGATCATAATGGTAGTTGCATTTTTAATTTTTTGAGGAGCCACCATACTGCTGTCCATAGTAACTGCACCAACAGTGCACAAGGGCTCTCTTCCCCCCACATCCTCACCAACACCTGTTATTTCTTGTCTTTTGGTGGCAGCCATTCTGACTGGTGGGAGGTGATGCCTCACTGGTTTTGATTTATGTTTCCCTGAGGATTAGTGATGCTGAGTCCCTTTTCATGTACTGGTTGGCCATTTGGGCATCTTCTTTGGAAAAATGTCAATTCAGGTCCTCTGTCCATTTTTCATCATATTGCTTGGTTTTTTGCTATTGAGTTGTGTGGCTTCTTTCTATATTGTGGATATTAATCCCTTCTCTAATGTATGATCTGCAATTTTTTCTCCCACTCCACAGGCTGCTTGTTCATTTTGTTGATGGTTCCTTTGCTGGGCAGAAGCTCTTAGTTTGATGTGATCCACTTGCTTATTTTTGCTTTTGTTGCCTGTGATTTAATGTCAAATCCAAAAAAAATCTTTGCTAAGACTGATGTCAAGGAGTTTACCCCTTAGGTTTTCTTCTAGGAGTTTTATGGCTGCAGGTCATACAACTAAGTCTTTAATGTATTTTGAGTTGATTTTTGTGAATAGTGTAACATAATGGTTCAGTTTTCCCAGTACCATTTATTGATGAGACCGTCCTTTCCCCCCTGTATATTCTTGGCTCCTCTGTCATAAACTAATTGACCACACATGTGTGGGTTTATTTCTGGGCTCTCTATTCTGTTCCACTGAACTATGTGGCTGTTTTTATGACAAGTAAGTGTATATTTTTGATGGCACTGAAGACTGCACTACAGACTTCACTGTCATTTTAGAGAATTACATCTTCCTTTGGGGCCACATCAAGGTGGCAAAAACAATAGACCAGAACCCCAACTGTCCAAAACATACACCAGTAAGTGCTGTTGTTTTGTCTCAGTGCTGTTGACCATCTCAGATAAGGCCCATCCCTGCGACTGCTCCCACTGATACCTGGAGGCCAAGATTTGAACTGAGCTAGGAGATTGTATCCGTTGGCTAAAGAACAGCAGCTTTTTTCTAAGATCTCTGCTCCACTTATCTTTGGTATTTCAGTGACTGACAAACAGACAAAAACATATTTATTTAGGGATTATCTATATTGAAAACTAGACATGGGATTTTTTTTCTCTGTCAACCTAGCAGTAATATCAGCTGTTTGAACAAAAAGGTGAGGTATTTTTCCATTCAATCCTGAATGCTGAAAATTCTTTGGTTTATATTCAAGAAGACATTTAGTTTTATTGATCGTGAAAGCTGAGTAAGTTTAAACTCCTATAGCCAGGCAAGGAGAAGGTTGATTTTTCTCTTCATTGTAAAGGTTATTAAGAAGAAACCAGACATAGAGGTTATTAGTCTTTAGACAATCCCATAGACTCAGAACCACTCAAGTATGTTCCAGAAGTTTTGTGCAAAGCCAATACTTGGACAGCCTGAAACACAGTGATGTCTCTGCTGGGAAGACCACTTTATTCTTCACGACTAAGTTCCTTCAAGAAAGTGTTCTGCTATCAATGGGGAAAGTGTCTATTTCTCTGCTTCTAACTGATAAGTAATGTTGAAACTTCACTAATGGTCAGAGAAGTAACAGACGCCACTTAGGTTGTCTGCAGCCCAGAATCCTTAGCCATGAATGGTAACTGATCACCTGCAATTCTGTTACAGCAAGGCCCTTCACGCAAGAAAACCTCCTCTCATCAAGACATGCAAACACAGTAAAGCCTGTATTTGGGTTGAGAATAAAGTGTACACTTAAAAAACAAACACCAAGAACTTTTACAGTGAAACAGACATATTGATAACTTTGTCCTTAATTTTCCTTCACAAACCTTTCAGCTTCTTCAAATCCGAAAAGGTGTTCAAATACTGAATAACTTTGTGGTGATTTTATGGAATTCTTCCTAAGTTTTTGGTCTGTCTTTTGTACTAACTGGAAATACTGGTCTCAGACTGAAGAGAGGGAGCCCAAGCCCTGAACACCACTCAGCAACATTGGGGTTCCTTGCAGGACGAGCTCAGATACTAAAATACTCTGCGACTTTGTTGAAATTTTGTCAGGGAAATGTGAGGAAATCCCACTGCCCATGAGCTCCATGTTGGCTTGTCAGGTGGAAACAGCTCTGGGCCAGCAAGTGGGTCCCCAAAAATCCAAGACCAGTATCTGCACTGCTTTCAGAAAGGCCTCCTTATAACTTCTTGACATCCACTCTTTTGTAAAATTATATATCTCCAAAGGACAGCCTTTTCTTTATTTTTTTTTAGGTTTTTTTTAATTCTTTTTTTTTCATTAAGTTATCATTGATATACACTCTTATGAAGGTTTCACAAGAAAAACAACGTGGTTATTACATTCACCCTTATTATCGAGTCCCCTCACACATACCCCACTGCAGTCACTGTCCACCAGTGTAGTAAGATGCCACAAAGTCCCTATTTGTCTTCTCTGAGCTATACTGCAAAGGACAGCCTTTTCATTCCATTCTGAGAGAAACTGTGTGACTTACAGAAATGACCATGGTTATTTTTTTTTAAGTGAAGTTATGCAGATCTGATAGAGTAAAGCAAATGTTTCATAAAACCAATGACTGTTTAAATTGTAGGACTAAACTGTTTGTATATAAATATTACCTTTTATATTCCATCTGAGTTTTATGTAGATGAACACATTACTTTAATGACCTGCATTTATGGAGGGAGAGAGGAGAGAGGCTCTCTCGATGCTCACCAGCCAGATGGCTGCCTTTTCTTGCATGAGATTAAAAGATGTTTCTCATTCACAGCGATGCTTCTGAGGCAAATTAATATCACCAGCTAAATTGCTTGTGTTTTTGGAATAAAATTTAAAGAGAACTTTTTAAAGCAATTGGTATCACAGGTTCTCAGGGCAGATTGCTCTCCAGGTAGAGCATGCTGGCTTTAAACATTGGGTAATTAATGGAAAGAATTCTGTGTTAATTGACTGCTTCCGAAAAGGGAAATACAATGACTCCTTATTAATCATGAAAAGTAGTGTACAGAGCAGAGGCAGGACAATGACTGCCTCAGCAGTGGAGAAATGTTGATTAATGAAAAGAACAATGATACAGAAATTGGCAGCATAATGCTCATACCCATGGAGCTTGGATTTTAAACATGCTACTTAGGAGTGGAAACCACAAGATTTGCCTTAAGTGACAGACAAATGCAACCTTGTACCACCCAAATGTCAGGGGACAGTCTCATACTGCCCCCCCCACCTCATCTTTGCTTGCAGAAACAAAAACACTCACCCAGAGAGATCTTTTATTTCTTTATTTCAGAAAAAAAAAAACAGGTTTGTCCTTCATTCCTAATCTAGGCTTCTAAGATCAAACTCTTCCTCAGAGCAAAACAGGGTCATTCATTAATGTCATTTAATTTCCACACAACAGGTCGTCCTGACTGCAGAGGACAAAGGGAGGGAAGAGAGTTTTTTTCCCCAAACTGAAATTAACAAATTTGATTTCTGATATTTTCCAGACAATATAAAGAAAAATTCATATTTGCATTGGTGACAGGGTTTTTTAAATCTAATTTCAAGTTCCTGAGAGAATATGTAGTTCCCACTCCATCTAACAGCTCATTTCACAGGAAAGGAAGCCATGTTTATTCAAACATGCATCCACTATCCACTCAGCATGAGCAGTCAGGGGCTCAGAACCAGCAGCAGCCAAACTGGCGACAGCTCTTTGTGTCTGCAGCACCCAGCCGCACCCACCCCATCAGTCTGCATGCTGGGGACAGTGACACTGCAGCTGGCAGTAGAGGGAAGGGGCTTGAGTCCTCTGCACAAGTCCAGGCGGAGCCTGCTGGGCACCTGAGGCTGCCCCCTGCCCTCCACCCAGGTGAGTGCTGACTCCTCCCCTCTCCTTCCAGGTGGAACGTGCTGGGCCTGCAGGGTGCCCTCCTTTGCCATTTCATTGAGCCTGTGTACCTGCACAGTATCATCGTGGGCAGCCTGCACCACACAGGCCACCTCTCCCGGGTAATGAGCCACAGGACCGAGGACATCGGCCAGCTGCCAACATCCTACCGGCACAACCGGCCCCTCCTCAGCGGTAAGACAGCTCTACCCAAGACACATGCTCAGGCCCTGCTCCTGTCAGTGGGACCCAAACGTACCAACTCAGGGCAGATTTCACCCATTTTGGCCAGTGGTTACTTAAGACTTAGCGAGCAAAATTACAGCAATTCAAGGCTTAAAAAAAAGAGCAAAGGTCACAGTGCATCTCTGAAGGTAGGAACAGTAACATTTTAGAGCAAAAGCATCACAGGACATGGACATCAGCACTTCATGGAGTCACTGTAGCTGTAGGGTCTACAGGGCTCAGGATAGAAAGGGTAATAATCATGTGCTTGTCCACAGGACAACTTACCAGCCCATGGCTGCTCCGTAGGCGGTTCTGAGGGAGGCCCAGGTGGATGAAGAGGAGCAAGATGGGGTGGGACTCAGGAGTCTGGGCTCTGTGCAGGGCTCAGAGGTGAGCACACACTCAGGAAGCATGTTTAGGGGACAATGAAGCCATTCAGCGAGCACAGAGCCAGGAGCATGCTCCTGAATCTGCTCCTCGCTTTCCACGCCGTGTCCTTAGGTAAGCACCAATGAGCCAAGACAACAGCCTGAGGCTGCCTGGCACACCCCATAGTGGGGACCAAGTCATGTGGCCTCAAAGCACTCTGGAAGCAGCAAAGTTCCACGCACACGGGAAGGATCGAGTACTAAATCTTGAGCCATGGATGGTAATACCTACCTAGTGGCCACGGTCTTCCACACTGTGGCCCTTTCCCATTTCTGGGAACCAACCAGAAGCAAAAGGAAGGAGCATGTAGGCTTTAATTACATCCCATGAGCCTCATCCAGAGGCCTGAGAAAAACCTACCGTGAGAGGCATCTCCTTGCTCCAGTAGGTTCTCTCTCCCTGGGGATGGCAGGAGGGGCCCCAGGGCACAGGCCCCCTCAGAGCGTCGGCACCTCCCAGCTTCAGCAGCTGACTGGTTTAGGTCTTCCTCCAGATCATCTGAAAGAACATGAGTAGACATGGTGCTCCTTAGTGTTGTGGCTGAAGATTTATTCCCAGGATCTAAAATTGTCCTAAATTACAGAATCAGGGGTAATAATAGTGCGCCAGAGGGTGATGACAGCCAGAAGAAATTCATGAAAAGCACTTAAGGTGCTAAGCAAGTTTTCAACAGAAGACACCTCACTCTCAATCCTCTGGATTCACCACCTACAAACTGACTACCTTCCAGGTGGACTGGACACATCACAGGCCCAATGACACAAACAGGCCAGCAGAGGGCCTTCTCAACCTAGCCCTTTAAATACTACATTCCCGAATTTCTTTTACACACGTGAGACCCTGTTGCTAAGATCCTAGGACCGTGTGCCAAGAACAGCCCTTTCCTCTTCAGGAGGGACATCTGTGGCACACAGATGATGGTCCAGAACCTACTTGCCTGCAGGACCTGCTTTTCCCCACCCTCACATCCATGGCCAGCTTAGACTCTGGAGACTTCCTATGTCTAGTCAAGGCAGCATAAAAGCCAGTTAGCCTCAGCAAGGCTATCCTGGTTGCAGGGGCATGTCAAAGAGTCTGTCCAGGAACACAAAATACCCATTATCTTGCTACGATTTCACCTTTCTTTACTGTTACCCAGGGATGATCAATTCTTTACCACAATCCTAAGGGCTGAGCTAGTAAAACAGCAGACAGGATCTTTGTACCACCGACCCCACTGTGAAGGCTGCCTGGTGACCTAGCCTAAAACTGTGCGGGGCCTGTAACTAAACCATAACAGACTGTGGGCAGCAAATGGCCTGAGGTGGTCTTCCTGGGCATGTGCACCCGGGGGCTCCTCTGCATGGTACAAAGGTAACACAATGCACAGCTCATCACCTGCAGAAGCAAATGATGCTGACAGTGTCTCCTTGTCAGGTACATGGCATGTTGTCCCATTGCACCAATGACTAGTGCATTCTCCTCATGACAAATGTGTAATGTATAAAATTCTCACAGATTTTAAGAACACACATGAGCTTCAAAAAAAATATCTGACCTGGGTCTTTGTCCTGGAGTCATTAAGTAGGAATTTATCCTCCTGTGCTCTTGAATGAATTTTTGGTAGAAAAAAATTATTATAAATCCTGCTAGAATAATATCTAAAAATAACCCTAAATTTTGCATGAAGATCAAAAAAGTTAGATTAAATACAAAATGAAATATTTAATAAGACATTTCTATAGATTAGCACTGATCTCCTTAAGCAAATTAGATGGCACATAGCTTATGGTAAATTTAAAATTATAGAAGGATTAAAGATGGCGGCATGAGAGGTGAGACAGAGGCTTCCTCCTAAAACCGCATATAATATGAAAATATAATTAATACAACTAATCCTGAGAGAGCAACAGGAAAGAGGACTGCACCAGACTGCATATACCTGGAGAAAAGAACAGACTTCATGGAACAGGGTAACGTACCAAAGCTGTGGCCCGGTTGGACCCAAGTCCTTCCCCCACCCCAGCTCACAGGCAAGAGGAAGAGAAACAGAGCAGGGAGGGAATGGAGGCCTGAGACTGCTGAATACCTAACTCCCGAGATCTGCTCTGGGAGCACAAACCTACATTTCATGGTAATTTCATGATTACATGATTGGAAAGCTATTTTGTGATTATGGGGTTGGAAAGCTAAGACAGGCAGAATTCTTGAAAGACTGAGATCCTAGTCACTTGTGGAAAGCAGGGATCCATATCCAGCTGCTCTGAGACAAAAGTTTATACCTGTGTGATCGGCCCACTGGTTCAGGCAGTGGAGACAGGCATAGCAGCCGGGAGGTGGGGAACAGCTTTTTCCTCTCTCCAGGCACGAATCCCACTCCCCTGCTTCAGGGACTGAGTAGCTCCAGAATAGAGCTTCTGGACACTAGAGGGCGCCATACACAAATATGAAACGCCAAAGGAACCTGGTACAGAGTAAAATAGATATAACTCCTGAGAAAGATGACATGGACCTCATGACTCTTCCTGAAAGGGAGTTCAAAATAAAAATCATTAACATGCTAATAGAGGTATGGAAAGCTACTCAAGAACTCAGAAATGAATTCCAGTCAGAGATCCAATCATTGAAGAGTACAATGGAGGGTATTAAAAGCAGATTGAATGTGGTGGAGGAGACGATAAATGAAATAGAAACTAGAGAAGAGGAATACAAAGAAGCTGAGGCACAGAGAGCAAAAAGGATCTCTAAGAATGAAAGAATATTGAGAGAACTGTGTGACCAATCCAAATGGAACAATATTCACATTATAGGGGTACCAGAAGAAGAGAGAGAGAAAGGGATAGAAAGTGTCTTTGAGGAGGTAATTGCTGAAAACTTCACCAGTCTGGGGAAGGAGATAGTCTCTCAGGCCATAGAGATCCACAAATCTCAGAACACAAGGGACCCAAGGAAGACAACACCAAGACATGTAGCAATTAAAATGGCAAAGATCAAGGATAAGGACAGACTATTAAAAGCAGCCAGAGAGAGAAATAAGATCACATACAAAGGAAAACCCATCAGGCTAACATCAGACTTCTCAGCAGAAACCTTACAGGCCAGAAGGGAGTGGCATAATGTATTTAATGCAATGAAGTAGAAGGGCCTGGAACCAAGATTACTTTATCTGGCAAGATTATCATTCAAATTTGAAGGAAGGATTAAACAATTTCCAAATAAGCAAAAGCTGAGAGAATTTACCTCCCACAAACCATCTCTATAGTCAATTTTGGAGGGACTGCTATAGATGGACGTGTTCCTAAGGTTTAAGAGCCATTACCAGAGGTAATAAAACCACAGTAAAGAAAGTAGAACAGCTAATTACTAAGCAAATGCAAAATTACATTAACTATCCCCAAAGTCAATCAAGGGATAGACAAAGAGTACAGAATATGATACCTAATATATAAAGAATGGAGGAGGAAGAAAAAGGAGGAGAAAAATAAAAGAACCCTTAGATTGTGTTTGTAATAGTATATTAAGTGAGTTAAGTTAGACTCTTAGATAGTAAGGAAGTTAACCTTGAACTTTTGGTAATGACAAATCTGAAGTCTCCAATGGCAATAAGTACATACCTATCAATAATCACACTAAATGTAAATGGTCTGAATGCACCAATCAGAAGACATAGACTCACTGAATGGATAAAAAAAAACAAGACCCATCTATATGCTGCCTACAAGAGACTCACTTTAAACCCAAAGACATATACAGACTAAAAGTGAAAGGATGGAAAAAGATATTTCATGCCACTAAAAGAGAGAAAAAAGCAGGAGTTGTAGTGCTTGTATCAGACAAATAGACTTCAAAACAAAGAAAGTCACAAGAGACAAAGAAGGACATTACATAACAATAAGGGGTCAATCCAACAAGAAAATATAACCATGATAAATATCTATGCTCCCAACACAGGAGCACCTACATATGTGAAACAAACACTAACTGAATTAAAAGGGAAAATAGAATGCAATGCATTCATTCTAGGAGACTTCAACACTCCACTCACTCAGGACAACCAGACAGAAAATAAGTAATGAGACAGAGGCATTGAACAACACATTAGAACGGATGGACCTAACAGACATCTACAGAACTACACACCCAAAAGAAGCAGAATACATTCTCCTCAAGTGTACATGGAACATTTTCAAGAATAGATCATATACTAGACCACAAAAACAGCCTCAGTAAATTAAAGAATACTGATATTGTACCAGCCAGTTTCTCAGACCACAAAGGTATGAAACTAGAAATAGATTACTCAAAGAAAATGAAAAATCCCATAAACACATGGAGGTTTTGCAATATGCTCCTAAATAACCAATGGATCAATGACCAAATAAAAACAGAGATCAAGCAATATATGGAGACAAATGACAACAATAATTCAACACCACAAAATCTGTGGGATGCAGCCAAGGCCATGCTAAGAGGAAAATGTATAGCAATACAGGCCTACCTCAGGAAAGAAGAGAAATCCCATATAAGCAGTCTAAACTCACAGTTAACGAAACTAGAAA